GTTGCATCAACAGAATCTCGTCAAATTAATATACCTGTTGTCTGCCTCTGCTGAAAGCAACAATTCTCGCTGGAATTTGTTATCTGGGTGGCTAGACATTGTGGCGAATGTATGTATCTATGAACTCGCTTACGCGTTCCATTCGAGCAGTGTATACACATACAGGATTGCCAATCTCCATGGATGGTATCCCAGAGTTCCGATGCCATCACATCAACCCGGACAGCTGTAATCCTATACACCACATGTTAGTACGAATATGCAATGCCGCATATACTAAGTAAACTACTGGTGGCCTCCACCTTCGGCATTTTTTCCTTGCGGTTTTTTGTTTCAACGCTGCTGGTACAGGACCGGAGCCCCTCGCGTTGCTATTGGCGGTGGCGAATCAAGGACACTGTCAAATGAGGGTAGAAAATCAGGTCCAGGTTTCTGATTGTTACTTCCATACCTCCAATCCAGCCTAGGCATAGAGTTGCGCAGACGCAGACGGTGCCACTGCAAGGGATAATGAAATTCATTGAACTTGTATGCTGTTCTGCTGGCGCTTTGCCAACACACCAAATTTATTGAATAACTAGCTGGAATTCGTGAGAACACTTCACCATGTCCCCGCAAAAAGGAATCGAAACCTGTCTCCAGCAGTGCACATTTTTGAGCACCTTGTGGACGTACCGCTACTCCAATCCAAGCACCACTGCAACCTACTCCAGCCCAATCCAAATGTTACTGCGCACATCTGCCAAAACACTGAAAAGTGCGCTTTTCCTCATGTACCATTACCGTCTCCCTTCACACGATTGCACCATTTGCCCATACAGGCCTGCTGACAATGCCAATGACTGACCTCGACACTCTTTTTATGCCAAAACGCCCTGTGAAAGCTGCTGCGAACAGGATCGAGCCGTAAATACCGTTCGTCAGCATGGTACTGTTCCACCCCATCCGATCGTCCGCGCCGTGGAATCAAGTCCCCTAGACTGCCACCAGATCGCACTGCAGAGCGCTACGTCGTACGCAATACACTCCCCCTTTCTCTTGATGTGAGGACTGATGGACGCAATACATTGTACCGAACCCAGCGCCTCCATCAACAGCACTCTTCGTAAAGTATCGAATCATGCCGTGGGTTAAAACAGTCGCGTTGTCCTGCTTCTCTTTCTGATCGGACACCGAACGGAGGACGCCGCACGCCCCACTCACCTAATTCGCAGCGGCGCAGCTGGAACCAACGTCCCATGAGACGTCCCATCGGGCCTATGTGGGTTGACTGTACGGTTACCTTCGTCCTCATCAGCCCTCCCGCCGGGGGCGGCCCTTGAGCCGCGAGGGGGGGAAGGCGCTTTTAACTTGCACCGCGGAGCGGTTGCAAGGATTGGCGCCCAGGGTGGAGGCGGCCCTCACCGCCCACCGCCTCCTTGGCCCCGCGCCAAAGATATCCGCCCGGAGGGTTGTGTCGGCGACCAGGCGACAGCGCCCAGTGTGGGTCCCTGCCACGGCCACTGACCCTTTGACAGGTCATAGGTGCGAGGAAGGTCTTTGCCAAGCCGGCGGGTCTCAACCCCCGTGGCGAGTAAGGCGCCTGCGGGGCCGCGCGCTGGTCGCTCCACCCCTCGTCGCGGCAAGGGTTGGGACCGCGCGATGCCGACCTCTCCTCTTTGAATGTTCTTTGGCAATTTTCATGGCAATCCGGGTGTGAGTGCCTGACATGCATGTGAATTGCGGCGATCGGGGCGTGACGGGCTGGCCCAGCGGGGGGCGGGTCGGGAAATTTGAGGCCAGGGCGCGAGCGGGGCTGGTGGTGCGTGTGACTGCGGGGCGCACGATTGCTCGCGTTGCCCTCTGACCTGGCACCTTGCCGATGTGTCCCCGTCCCGAGGCGGTGCCACCTCGAACCTGGACTCGGAAACGGGGCTTGGGCGCATCGGTTTTCCCATGCCCATGTATGTGCGCATGCATGAGCATCTCCTTGGTGGGCCACTCGCGCGGTCAGGAGTCGTTTTGGCGGACTGCGAACCGCTGTTGAATTGGCAACCGGGAACGACCTCTGTGCCATGGGGTCGCACGCGTGAACCCCAGAATCTGCGGCCTTCCGCGGACACTCTCGCGAAGGGGGAAACTCGGCCGCTGTATTCCCCATGGGCAGCGTTGGGCTTACCCTTCCCTCTTTCGGCTGGAAGTGGGAGCGAAGGGCGCCAGCAGTAAGGCCAGCTGATGGCCACGCAGGGCGGTGGCCTCGTTGCGTAAACATGGCGTTGGTGGCCGCCCTTGAAAAGTCGGCAAGGCCAATCTTGAGGGCTCCCACGGTGGTGCGAACAGGCTTCGTGAACCCCGGGGGCCGCCTGATATCCCCCCAGTACTTCGGCAAGGTGGGCGCCACCCCCCGGGGCTACGCCCAGGCCAACGGCGCCAGCAGGAGCGGACCGCCAATGGAGGAGAGGCGCAGCGAGGGGCCGCAGGAGAGGCCGGCATTTGGCGCTTCGTTCGACTCGCTGGTTGCAGCCGCGGGCGTGGATGAAATCATTGCCCGCAGGCAGGCGCCTGCAGGTGAGAAACCGGGTTTCGAGGGGGGTCCGATGTAGGAGAGCCGGGCCACGCGCTGTGCCACTTTCGGCGCTCCCGGGTCGCACCATTGGGGTGTAAATTGGCACGGTGCCCATGTGAGCATGTGGGGGTTGCCGTGGCATCACAGCTGGGAACTTCCCGGTGGGAAGGGGCGGGTGCCGTTTTTTTTTGCTTGCTTTCTTGCTTGGCCTGTGACTCGGAGGTCAGAAAGGGTGTGGGAAGAAAGGTGCGCGCTGCGCTGGCAGGCGCCCAGTGCAGCGGGGAGTGAAAAATATCATCCGTGTTGAGGTGCTTATTCCGGCAGCCCACAACAGACGTCCATGGTCAGAGGATGGGTCGCGCAGGTCTGCCTAACGTTTACAATTCTGGCGGGTAAGACGGGCATGATGTGGATTCCGAGAATTTTCGTCCCTGTAGAATTGGCAGGGCACAAGCACCATCATGTTTTGCCACTCTTGGCAACAGCACTGCAGCCCTGAATTCCTTGGGCACCCGGCTGGCGTAACTTCAGAAGGTACTTTTAAAGCATGATGTGGATGCTTCTGTTTCGTCTGCTGCGCAGGCGCACATGGCCATCCAGCGAATGGCGAAGCTGCAAGGGTGGAGATGTGCGGCCCTGCCGGGTCCATGGTGTCTCCCTTCGGCAACCACCCGAAGGGCAACTGGCGGCTGTCGTTTGGAGCGTCAAGGGCCAACATGAACGGTGAAATGGCGAATGGAAGAATGCAGACGGGTATGCTGAATCCCTGAGGCACCATCCAAATGGAGGATGCGCATTGACAGTGAGAAGTGCTAACCTTTTGCTGGGAGCCACGTTGCCATGTTTGGCGAGAACCAAGTGCATTGGTTGAAGAATGCCTGCGATTGCACGCACTTGCATGCCCTGTATATGCACAGTTACATGGCTATGCGCAGCCCCAATGGGAGTGCCGGGGCTTCCATTTTCGCTGGGATTCCATTGGGGAGGCAGGGGAGGGAGCGAATTTACCACAATACTGCATCGCAATGGAAAACGGCTGCTGGTACAACCCTCAAGATGGCTGGGCGAAGATCACGAGGCACTCGAATTCGAAGCAAGCGGCAGGCGATTTACAAGTTTAAACCCACACAGGAAAAGAGGATCCATCAGGCGCGAAGGGCATCAGGCTGCGAGTGCGCAATATCCGAAACGCCAGCTTGCACGCTGCCATTCAGCGACGGCGCATGAGGGACCTGGAAACTGGAGATGACGTGACTGGTCCGGGGGGGTTCTCTCAGCCCCCTAAAAAGCGCGTCCGGCCAGTCAGGCCTAACGGAGGGGCTTCGTTTGCAGCAGGGCCGGACAGCATGCAAGGGCCACCATCCTTCAAGAGGCGGATGAGCAATGACGGGGACGGAGGCGCGGGAGACGAGGTAACAACCCCTTGGGCAAATTCGCAGCAAGATTTGGCACAGTGCTATGTGGCAACCTGCAGGGCAATGGGAACCCAACAGGCCCTGTTTGTTTAACAGGGTATGTTTGTAGCAGCATGCCAGCCGGTGGGATTCCAGGATTGCATGCACATGTTGGCAGGCATCAGCCACAGGGCTTGTAATCAGGTGGGCGCATCAACAACTTTTGGAGCCCTTTTCGGTTCCCGACTGTGCAAGTTGCTCTCCATGTTGAAGCATCTTAATTCGAATACCTGTGAAACCAGCTTATGTTCTTGAATAGGTCGAAGTAGCCATGTTCGCCAGCGGTGCAGTGACAAAGTGAGCTCGAACTGGAACTGTTTGGGCAGTTCTTCAGCAGCGAATCAACACTGCAAGCAGAAATGGGTGCAACGCATGGCTCGAGGCGTGCTGAGTTCCTCCGTGTTTGTGTCTTTCCAGGCAGAAGGGGAAATGACATATGAGGACGACGAGGACGACGCCGACTGGCAGCGGCGTGCTGGCCGCTCGAAGACCTCAAAGCGACGCAAAGGGTATTATGTTGCCGCAAGGTTGTTCAATGAACACATCAGCGTTTGCAGACCGCAACTTGTGAGAGTGCAGTATGGCTCCCAATTAGATTTGTGTCATGCGAGTCGTTGGTGTGTGCTGCGAGCCGCAACTTGCTGCTTTTACCCCTGCTCCAAGTTCAGAAGCGCAGAGCGGTGCTGCCGCAACAGCTCTCCAATGTCCCAAACTGGCACCAAAGTGCAGTGGGTGTGTCGCTCCCCTGCCTGCTCATTGAGGGCCTTGGATGCGCACTTTGGCAGCTGCGATCAATTCCTCGGCCCTACGTACTTGATACGCATTCCTCAACTCTGTTTAATTTCACAATATTGCGTGTATATTCAAAGGTGTATGCTTATCTCACAGGCGCCCGCTCCGCCACTTCCTGCAGCCTGTTGCCATGATGAGCTCAGACACAACAGGGCGGAGGCGCAGGGGCCGCCCACCGGGGTCTGGCAACAGACGGCCCATGGCGCCACAGAGGGTGGGCCCCGACGGACATAAGAGGTTCAATCTGCGATCTGCAAAATACACGGGCGTGTACAGGACGCCTGCCAACAGATGGAGGGCGCAGTTCTGCCACAGGGGGCAGGTACACACAAGCACAGCAGCCACCAGCAGAAAACGGCACTGGTGCGATGCCAACTGCGATGCCGTTTGACGCTGTTTGGTGTCATCACAGCTACGTTTATGCCATCGCAATCACTGTGGTGGTGCCACTTTGTGTGAAACTGGCATCGCAGTTGGCATCGCAATTGTGGTACTTTCCGCTAGTGACCACGAGCCCAGTCCATGCATTTGGCGGGATTGTGAAGTATCCGATTCAACGCATGCCCAAGTCCATATGTCTGCTCGCATGGGATGATCGCTGCATCATCATCATCATCATCATCATCATCATCATCAATATCATCAAAATCCGTCAATTACGTTTGTCAGACAATAACAAAACACAGCCCGTGCACCTGATAGGCGATGACGGGCGTGAAAACCAAGCAGAGTGTTTGTTTGGAATCGATTGTTCATGGTCCCGTGGTCGCTGCATGCGAGGCGCCAGTCCATTTAGCACCAACAAAGGGACACTTCAACTGCAATGCCAGTGACAATTCGGTCACAATAGAGATTGCAGCGCGAAGAAGTTGCAGCGCCTATTCAGCATGGGTACAGATGGAGACAGCACTGCTGCTGCGACGAAAGTTGCCGATCAGTCCCTTAATGCGCATTGCTGCAAAATTCTCAGCACGGGACCGCCCCTGTACATAGGTATCACCACAACAATGTCGCCGATTATGCATTGCGTGATTATGCATGATTGTATATTGCTTGTGCATTGTGTAGGTCGTCCAGCTTGGTATGTACGACAATGAGGCCTCTGCAGCCAGGCGATGGGACATGGAGGCACTGCGACTCAGGGGCGAACAGACTCCCCTCAACTTTCCACACCTCAAGCCCATCTACATGAAGCAGGTGAACTACCTGTGCATCTCTCCGCACGGCATCTTGTCATCCAATTGTGCTGCTCACAGAGTGACGTGAGTTGCAATATTCGGCGGACCCAAGGGAGATGAATGCCCTGCAAGAAGCACTGACAGTGATACTAGCCGCAGGTTACATGAGCTGCAGATTGCATGAGCTGGGATGGTTTCCGGCCATGAACGCTGATATGGATGCACAATTCTGATGCTGCTGAATTAGAGCGAATTGCACAGGGCAGGACTGTGGGTATCATACGTTACTGCACCTATACAAATTGTCAGGAAGAATGCTGAATCATGATCATTTGCATCATCAAAATTATGGCAGCCACGAGTGAAAAAAGCTGCACCGGGCGTTGTGATCCGTTCATGCCTTTGGAAATGCATGCTTTTGATTGCATCGCGACCTCCTGCCGTTTCCTTTGAGTTCCCTGACCAGTCCGCAGCATTGTTTTCAAAGCCAGAATACAGCCGAAATCTAATTATATTGATGGTGTGCTGTGTTGCATTGGCAGTTGTCACAACTCACACACTTTGGCAAGAATGATCCGGACCCAGATGTGGTACTGTACGGGCCACCCCCAGAACTCAATGATGAGCTCCTTGCCCAGTACCAGGATGATCCAGAGTGCAGCAAGAAGATGGCAATGGACCCTGGTAAGCGTTCACGGGCCTGTGATGGGATAGAAAGAGCTGCCAGCGATATTGTAGCATCAAACAGCAAATTCTCATGCATAAGGGTGGTGATGGTGCACTGTGGGTGAGGGCACAGTACGAGTTGCAATGGATAGCCTGGTGTGCACTGTGTGATCAGCAGCAAATGAAGGATGGGTGGCTGTATCCTCAGTAGCAGCGTGGGGGAAACTGTAACTATGCCACACGTCTCTGCATAGGGGCACATGCATCCTCAACATGCAACTCAGGAGACATGCTGACTCTCAAGGCAGCAGCAGCACAGCAGCAGCAGTTGAGAACGCCTGCATGCATGAAGCCACTTCCCTTTCCTCTTTGTATCATGTTGCATTTGTGCCTCTGGGGCGCTGGTGTGCCACATGTACTCACAATCTGCCTGTGTGTTTTCCTCCCCAGTGCCCTCACGTGACAGGCATCCCCTCTCAAGGGGTATGCCCCTTCACGCGCAGCTGCAGGCATCAGACATCGTCATAGCCCCAATTGTGACATCGATGAACAATCGTGATCCCCGCCAATTCCATGGCCAGCCTGGTGGAGGCAATGTTGCTGAACAGATGCACCACTCAATGCCACCCATGCCATCGCCCACCTTCCACACAATGGAAGGTGCACATGCACCCATTCCGATACTTGGGGGTCATCCACATATGAATGGACAGAGTTCAGCGATAGTGCCAATGGACTCCGTCCACTCAGGTAAACCATAAACACTGCCTTTACGTGCCAACCCCGTCCTGTTGGATCGAAGTGAGAGTCTGAAGAAGGGAATACTAACCTATGGAATGGAGCATTTCGCCCACTGCAGGCGATTGCATCAACGCTTTTCATGGACCATCGGCAGACAATCGAATGCATGCAACATTGAATGAAGCCCTGCAGATGGAATCAAGATGCACCTAATGTTCTTGTGCAAATACACAGCACAGTAGAATGGAAGTCCAAAGGTTGCTGAGAATGGTACTTGCAAAGTTGATTTGGGGCTTCCATTTGCAAACTTGATAGGGGACACACTGCGCTCCCAAGAGGGGGACGCATGCAGTGGCACTGATCTGCGATGCATTTTATCTTCACAACATGCGATTTTTGTTTACATGGGAATCCATCTTCATGCTCTTCAGGGCTTCCATCGGCAAAAGCCTTGTTGAAATCGGGAAGTTCTGCAGTTTCCGAGACTCTGCACTTGGCTACAGACAATGGTAGCTCACCGACAGCAGAGCCACAGGGTGTGAAGGTGGTTCCAGAGACAGTGCTGACACATGTGAGGCGCATGATGGAGAGTGTTGTCAAGGCGGCAGAGAAAGACATTCAGGTGAGGTGGACGTTGTGTATCTGCTTCCTGTGCATGGCTGTCATGGATGGCCTGGACTGTGCATTTTGCAGCAGCAAACTCTTACATCTTGGTGCTTGGGCTGCTGGCTAACATTAGCACAGCAAGAAGTGTTCCAGCGTTTGTTTGCATTCTGTATAGGATGCCCTGTGTGAAGAACTGTTTCCTCAATACAAAGAAAACCTTATGAGTATGAAAAAGTATGGCAAGCAGATATTCAGGCTCAGGTGCTTTCCAAGGGGAAAGCACGTTGTCCCAACCTGGGGGTTTTGACAAGAACTGGATTTTGTTGTGCAGGGCGCCCAAGAGCGGTACGACAGAGCAATGGACGTGTTGATCATTGGAGAGGCGATGAAGCGAGAAGCCCAGATATGTGTGGATGTGTCCCGCGTCCGGAAGGAAGCGGCACAGAAACTCCTCATGAAATTTGGCACAGTGTTGGACCCCGCGGTGCCCAACAGCCAAGAGGGCCAGCAGGGCCAGCAGGTTCCGCAGATCCAGCAGGTCCAGCAAGACCAACAGGGACAGGAGGTTCAGCAGGTGCAGCAAGGCCAGCAAGAACAGCAGGGTGAGTGAGCCCATCGGCACACCACAGCCAGGATGGAATCGGCAGAGCCATTTCAGGGCTTGAAAGTTGCTGCCAGGCAGCGCGTGAGAGGGAATTGGAGGCGGAAGGGAAGGAAGGAAGGAAGGAAGGAGTGGGGTACTTGGATATATTCAAGATTAATTGTGCCATATCTGATCGGCCACGCTGGCCCCCATCAGTGTTGGAATGCGAGGTTGTCTACGCGGGAGCATTTCGCGGCCAAGGAAAACGGAAGCACCAGAGGAAGGGCCGTCCACAATCATTGAGGATGGCTTCCTGGGCGATCTCTTCACAGCCTCAGCGCCCTCTCTCCTCTGCCCTCCTCTGTCCATGACTGCATTGACACTCTGACAGCAACGCGGGGTATAGTTGCACATTCATCAGGAAAGCCCCTATCATGGATTCTCCTTTGTAATACATGGAATATTCACCTGAATAGAACAGCTCGGGTGAGGCGAACAGCCCGCGTAAGCTTCTCTGCCGCAAGGCTTCCGTGTGTCTGCCGTCACCATCAACTCCGTCTGGTCCTGATCGCGTGTTGGCTCGATTTGTCGACGTCGACAGCGCAGTTTCTGCAGGCTTGCAGAAACAACACAACGTCGGCTCATCCACCTTTCGTCCAGTTGAGGCCGCCCGCGCTGTTCGGCGCACAGTGCATTACGGCCGTGGCTGTCCAAACGTGACCGCACAGGCGGCTATGACGTTCGTCGCCGTGATGGAGGGCGCACTATGGGGGCCTGCCAGCTTATCCACCACAGCGTCAAATCTATCGAGCATGTCCGGACTTGCAGGACCTGCAGGAACACAACTGCAGCCGCCCGCCGAGCACAGTCGACCATTGATTCGATTCCATGCGCTCTTGATGTCCTACACGGCAATAACCTTTGTGTTGTACAAATGCTGTTCACAGTGATCAGTAACGTTGTGTTGTTGTTGCTGTGTTTTCGCAGAAACGCACGTCGGAATTATCCGAAATCGTGGCTGCGCCGTGTCTAGCAGCCACGCCTGTAAGCTACTCGCCACCGATGTTTACCGAGAGCTGGGCGAAAGCCGTCCCCTTCAACAAGGAAATGACCATGCACGTTTCAGGCGAAAACTCCCCGCCTATTGTTGGTTAGAATCTCTTTGTTCGTGCCCCTTCTAACCGCACGATCCCACAGTAACGCGTGCATTAATCTATGGACCTAGGGCATGCGAAGGGAAAATGCCACGAGCAGCAGGCCTGGAGGGCTGCTAGTAAACTGGCCAGTTGCCACTGTATACATTTCAAGTGGAGTCCTTCTTTTGGGAAGACAGTATTTGAAGTTTATACGCTTGGCGTCAAATGGACGCTGGGGGGTGAGGCCATGGACGCAAAGAGATGGGGTAATTGCACTAAATCAATACAAGGTTGGGGCCTGTTGACTGCAACTTCTGCTTGTGGGTTTGTATTGACCCACCAGATGGACAAAACGCAGCTAATCAGGGGGAAACAGCTCATGAAATGTTCCAAAACCTCGCTCAACTATTGAATTTCGAAAAAGTCCTTAAATTGGATGAATCAGCAACATTTGGGCTGCTCCCAGCGCCTATAATGGGTTTTAGCGTTTCATTTTTCACCCCATTCCATTCCCTAAACTTTGGCTGCATTTTCCCCATATATCTTCTTCAAGTTGTATTGCAATGTTGGGTGATGTTGCTAAGCCATCCTGCCATTGAAACAACGATTGATGCTAACAGGAGGCTGGGGGGGGAGGGGCTGAGCGTAGCGTCCGTTTGACACTAAGCGTGCAAATTCAAGAAAGTGTCTTCTCTTAACAACTAAATTTGTTGTAAAGGAGTAATACCATGTTACCACACATGGTATTTAAGAGCGTGCTGTCAATTTGCCGATTTGGTGCGCTGCAAGTGAACCAAAGCTAAAAATGGGCCAAGTCGTGCAAGTGTTCGCTGCAAATCCTCGTGTGAAGATTTGATGCATAATAGTGGCAACGCGATGGGGACGACCCCACGGCTAAAGGGCGCTCTCGCTGGAAGACGTTCAGGGGCCCACGGTGGATCGCTTCTTGCAGGACGGTGGGCAATTGCCCACCAGCCATGCGACACACTGCGGGACACTGCACCGCGAGACAGACTCGTCGGACTGTTCTATCCGAGTGCAGCCCGACCCTCGAACTGATCTCCACTGCTCACGTGAAGTTCCTAAATTCCCCATAATGTCCCAATGACGTTGGTGGCCTCGCTCTCAACGGCCGCCGTCCCAAGCCGATTCAATCCACTCCAGGAAACAAAAATCTGGACCAGCGCCGCCAGTTTTCGATCATCCCAAGCGAACCCCGCCACAACTGTGCCTTGGGGCCCACCGCCCCTTCCGCGTCGCCTCAGTTTTGGCGGGAGTTTCTGTGGGGCCCGCTCCTCGCGCGTTCGGACTTGAAAGGGGGCGGCGCGCCCCGCCCGCCAACTGCGCCCGCCACAGGACAGCGCCAGCGCTGCTCCCCCTCGTCGCCTGTCCGCCTCGACGCGCTCACGGCCCAGGGTCGTGGACCGGGCCGGTCCATAAAGGTCGCTGCCAGCCCGGGCGCCCACCCCGCGATGGCGGCATTCGAGCTGCTGCTGCGCGCCGCTGGCGTGGACGGCATGATCGCATCGAGGGAGTCCCACGGTGAGACTTGCAGGGGTCGCTGGCACGATCGCGCACGGCGGTTGCTACGGAAGGGCATGGCGCTGGACTGGCGAAAATGGACAGGGCAGACGATTCGGCAATCTGAACATCGTGTGGCCGGACGAGTGGCCGTTATGCTCGTCGACGGTGGCGCATTGCTGCTTGGATTGGGACATTAGGCGATGGACGCTCCGTCGGGGGCGGCAGAGCGAATCGGGCAGTCGATTTGCGGCATGGATCTGGCCTGAAAGTGTCGCGAACTGATTCCCATCGGCCCTGTTGGTGGGCCCCTGAAACGGCACTGCTGTACGACAGAAGTACGTGCCGGTCTGCACACGCGCGTCTGCATTCTGCAAGGCCGTTATACACCTTTCATCGGCGCGCAGGGCGATCCTGTTAGCCCACTGATGCGCGGACAGGATCACTGTTAAGCCGCTTTGCTTGGGCCCACTTTACGCCAATCTGAGCTATTTTCAAATCGGTTTGGAAGCCCGACACAGCACTGTATGGCCAGGTTGCACAGGTTCCCCAGATGTATGTTATTGGTGCCACATTATTGGCCCTATGGTCTATAAATTTGCTCAGTCGCCAGGAATGCAGGCCCGTTCTTCCTGTGCTCACATTTTAGTTGCTATCCTTGACAGAAGATCACGGTTCTCCTTCGGCCGTCGACGCTCCCTGCAAGAATTCTCTGACGTTGAACGGCCTTCATACTACGACTTTTCTGCCCTTGGGAAGAGGATCGTGGACGTTGGCCAATCGCAAGAGGTCGCCAAATACAGGTGCCTTAGAGCCGGGTTCGCCATGGACTGCACTGAGAGAGTTGGCGTCCGCAGCATCTGACAAATCTCTGAGCATGAGTGAAGGAAATTTGGGGGGTAGGTTGCAGGGCACCCATGAAATTCTTGGTCGAATTCAGGTGTCTTCATGCAACAAATCATTGTACTCTGCCCAGTAATACACTCTGAACAACTGATGCTTGCCTTCGTAAAAAATCATTTTCTTTCCTCCCCAGCTGCCTTCACCAGTTGTCTTGTGACGTTCCTTGTCCAGCAAAGGCGATGTTTAGGCCATAAAATCACATGACATAGCAAATGACATACTCAGACACTTCACAATAAATGTGCGACACAGCAACAATGGCTGCCTTTCAACAGCTTGTACGATTTCGTTGCCACAGAGCTCAAGGAGCGATCGTCAAGTCCACAGGGCGCCAAGCTCTCATGCAGCACAGCCCCTGATTCCAGGTCTACGGAAACATGCCAAAGGCACAAGTTCAGGCGCAGCAACTCTGGCAGTCGTGCGGCAAGCTCTCCAGATATGCAGCACTACACACCAGGGCAAGGAGGTGACAGGCGTAGTGACCTTCAAGCCGACACAGTGCTCATGCCACAATCTGACAGTCAACAAGGTCTTAGGAATGGCTACCAGCAGATGCCCCAGTGGTGTAGAGATTTCGAAGCACCACACAGCCAGGCAGGGCGGCTTCTGCGCACAGAGTCCAAACCAAAGTACACGTCGAGAATATTGGCGGGGTGAGGGCTGGATGTGGGCTTTGCGATTTCCATGTTCCAATTCTGTTGCTGCCATTTGATGATTAGCTCTTCACCATGTGGGTTAGCATTCACCAGTCCATCCAGCGTAGATTTCAAATTCCACACAGATGCATTTGTCACAGTGTGAATCGGTGCAGTAAAATTATGCAGGTAGTACCCTAATGTGGTACCTCAGTTCCTCAGTGTACAGGATGGCACTGGAACATTGGTTTCATAGTGGGGAGTGTTTTGCTTGCAGAGATGAGCTGTCATCTCTGGTGGAGATAGGCAATCGATTGGGTATAGTGACCCCAACAGCAGAGGAGCAATTGGCGGCCCCACAGTTGCCCAAGAGGCTGTTTGGCCGTTATCAAAGCGTCTACAAGGGAATCAGGCACAGGAGGAGCAAGAACAAGAAGATGTTAAAATGGGACGTTATATTCCACGCTGGTGGTGTGGTACGCATCTCAATCTTCAGCCATGTCTTGCAGCATGCTTGTGGCCATTGAGTGGAGTAGAATGAGGACTGGCATTTTGTGTTTCTTGCTGTGATATGCACCACAGCATGTTTTCAGCATTTCTGCCATTATGTTGTTTTGCCCTTGTTAAGCAGGATCCTCCCTTCTTGATTGCAAACACTGCATGGCATATCTTGTTTTTCAATATATATGACAGGAAAATCCCTCCAGTTGTCTCCATATTTCTATCTTTAGTGATCCTGCATGGCCTGCAGCATTCAGGGTTTCCAAATGAGCTTGGAATTGTGCCTCTTATCAAGAGGGTATCGTGTTACTGCGTTACTGCACATTCACTTTCGCCACCTCCAGGTTTCATTTCCGTACCAGTCTTGCTTGAGTTATCAGTTATTGCAATTGTCACTACAAGTCACTGGTGTTCAGCACACAAATGGTGCCATGGACATACATAGACTTGATTGACTGGATCCTGCTGTGACCATCATCTCATCCCCTGGTGCAAGGACCTTTTTTCCTTTTGTGCACTTTGGACACAATTAAGCAGTGGATTCAGAATATGGTGCCAACTGGGGCCATGAACACTGAATGCGCAATAGGTCTGGTTTCACTCTATGGCAGCTATGCATGGTTGATGGCAATGGTAGATAAACCAAGCAGGGCTGTAAGACATGTGTTGCTGTATCCCATGCATGGAAATGTCTGTTGATTCTGCAATGCAGAACGTGAGATACACAAGGGTTTACTGGGAAATTTGTTGAGGAACTTGTGCTGACTGCGCATGGTATCTGGTGTTGCAGTTAACCAAACTAGGTACATATGAGGACGAAGCCCTTGGTGCGCGGGTGTGGGACTTGCAGGCACTGAGAGTGCGGGGAGCGTTCACCTGGATTAATTTCCCACACCTCAGAAATTTCTACCTTGCAGAGGTATGCATGCACGCCCCTGTGGATCCATCTGGCAGGGTCTGCACAAATGCAGGCAGGCGACGTTCGTCAACTCATCATATTGTTGCTCGCCTTGCACACAATGGCTGTGCACCTCTTGTGCCTGTTTTTGAAATCCTGCCGACAAAGCAGCTGTCGCATCCATGGCATGTGATTGCACATGAGAAATTTCGACTCGCTGACACTGGCAGTACCTCCACTCCCAAACACTTGGTGCAGAGAGTTGGCCCCTCTTTGTGCCTGAGATTCCAAGTTGGGGACGCGTTGAAAATGGTCCTGGTTGTTGCTGCCCATTTTCTACAACTTGGAGTCTAAAACCCCAAGGCAGGCTGAAAACACATGAAACGGTCTGTGGATACACATAGAAAAGCGGGCTGGAATCACACCAACGCTTTGGGGCTGCATAGATTTCTTTGCAAAACAACTACAAGAGGATGGATAAATGAAGCATTCCTGCATTGTATTTTGAAAGAAAATGGCATAAAATTGCCAGCATCGGTGGTGTCGTCTCAATGGCATCCTGTAATTCCAATTATTCCTCTATAATACTTCCTCCGTCCCAGATAAATTGTCGTCTATTTGAAAGACGAAATTCGTAACAAGGACGGCCTCAAAATTTCAAAACAGTTCAAGAAAGAAAGATTGCATCCCAAAAAACACTTAGCTATCAATATTCAGGAAGAAAAAGTGAGGCACAACGTTGTGAGCGTAAGGTGAAAAGTAAATTTTGGTCATTTTTGACTCCAAATTTCGAGGTTTACTAGGTAAAAAGACCCTTGATACAAAGTAGTGCCAAATCCTATATACTTAATGGATTGACTTGAAATTTTGGTGGTTTACTCCAAACTCACAACTGTAGCTGAAATTTCATTGAAACGGGTGTGGGTATGATGGAGAAATAATGCCCCAAAGTCATAGAGGACTATTAATCTCGGATGGAGGAAGTAATTCCTATAATCCCATTTGGTGTCATCTCAATAGTATACTACGTCTCTTGTAATATCTTTATGATATCCCATGCATCCCATGGCACCCTGCATCCCCTAATAGCTCCTGTGTTTTCTATGTCATCAAGTATGATATCTCATATATCTTGTGTAATTTGCAGAGTTTTACAGACCTGCTTGTGAAGATACGTACAAGTGTTCAGCGATAGTATGTGGCTGGATGAAAAGCTCTGGATGGTGACTGGGCAACTCTTGTTAGCAGTGGCAACTTGACGTACCACTCAATGTGCCAACAACCAATTTATCACCATGCGAGTGGCGCTGTGCACACTAAAAACGTGCTGCTGAACAGTTGGTTTGGCTGTTTGCGCCAGCTGTCCAAGATAGGAGAGAAGGTTCAAGGTTCAGATGAGGCCCTTGCCTGCCAACGTCCACTTGCGTGCGAGGTTGTGGAGCCTCCTGCTGTTCAACATAGGCCACCAGCAACTCTGATTGTCCCCATGAACGAATCACAGCACAGTGAGGGCAAAGCTGTCAGTACAGCACCTGAGGCACCTCCTCCTGCAGCAGTCCCCACACAAACTCAACCCTGCAACTTGCAAATCCCTACACCAGGAACTCCACAAACCATGTCTGCAAGGCCACCTGCACCAGCTCCGCAACTGGAAGGTGTGTTGTGGTGTGAAAAATGCTAACTTGTACTGCACTGACTGCTTTCATCATGTGATTGTTTACTACCTATGTATCTGTCTGGCAATGCCAGGACAGCCCCACAACCGTCGCTGGAAAATCTGCTGAAAACTCCGTGTGGAACCAGTCATTTGTTAACACAAGTGCAGTTTCTGTTGCCCCATGGATTTTCATGTGCATGCTGAAAGCTGAACCCAGTAAAGAGTCAGGTGAAAATCCTAAACGAAATGCTGGTTGTGTTCCACACTTTAGAAACCGGAATGGAAGAGAGTGGTCTACAGATGTTGAGCACATTGATGCCAAGACATACCCAATCAATGGGTGACAACCGATTCCCAGATACACACGCAGGACACACAGAGGAATCCTGGGAGGGCTTCTTGCAACTCGTCAAGTGGATCATAATGGGTGTTGTGAAGACAGCTGACAAGGATGTACAGGTGAAGGGTCCTGTCCACTTGTTAGCTGATGTGGCAGCCACCACTAGGATTACAGAATCTGTCCCATATGGCACCATGTGGGCCCACGGCTTTTCCTGGCCTCCCCCATGCCCTCCCACAGATGCACACATGCGCAGTCCCAAGATTCTGTAACCCTATTGCACCAGCTGTTTTCACAGTATTCACAGATGCAATCCAGGATGTGGAATGAATTCACGACCAGCGCCTGGCAGTTAGTGCAACACCAATTCCATTCTCCAAGCCATGGAAGTGGAGATCGTTTCTTATGCAGTTTTGTGGCCTGTGCCAACATCTGATCCAGCTATATTGCTGCACGACCTTGCCTGCAGTGGGCACAATCTTCAATCCCACCTTACCTAATGGGTGGAAAGGGTATCGCCTATTGCTCAATAGGGCGCTCTGTCATGTCTTCACAACAAAGAGGTAGCAAAATTAATGACTATGCTGAATATTACTTAAGGATACTTTCGGTTGTGACTGCCTGATGGGGTGGTGATCATGGCGATCCTTGACATTGCTGAGTGCAAGTTGCACTTTTGACCATACTGAATGCATTGTTCCCTGAGCCCCACTGTCTCGTCTACTTGCAGACAGGTGTAGGCCTTCTTAAACGAGCCATGGACATCTCCAGCATCTGTGAAAAATCGTGGCAAGCACAGCAGGTTTGTGTTAAGTATTGTGGAACAAAGATTAGCTAAGTTGGGCGTCGTGCCAGTTTCTATTCAGTTCTACAATAACAAGCGTATCAAACTGTGCACACAGGCAAAAGGTAATAATTTTCACTGCCCATTTCTCTGTTGCAGAGGGGATTCAAACAGTTCTGATGAATCTCCCTCAGCGGCCTGTGTGCTTGGTAAACACAGTGCATGGACATCATTATCCTCACAATGTATCTAGATTCTGTTGCTGGGCTGCTGTCACACAAATCGAACGCAAAGAGCGCAGAGAGAAGCACACTGGGGACGAGAAGAGCGAAGGAAGGCGTCCCGTTGATGGTGGTGACGTTGGCTGTGGCTGTGAAGGTGACGATGCGTTTGTACGGTACAAACGCCTGCAGAGCTGCTCCCCCGCACACATCGTTCTAACACGTTCCGCACAACGTGCACCAGGTGAATCCGTCAGTTGCGTCCCGGCTGAGGGATATCGGCGAATCCCTGAGGCGGGATGTCAAGTCGTCGCTCCGCGCGGCCATGACCAGAAAGGAGGCGGCCAAGAAGTTCCTCGGCAAGGTCGACGCCTTTCTCAGCGCGCCCAACCTCAGGGCCGCCTTCGCGCATCAGCCGACCAAGCTGAACGGGGCCAGGGTGGCTTGAGGGCGGTGGAAGAACGGGGGAAGGGAGCGCACGACGCCCGTTACACAAGTGACGCCCGTGACGCTGGCACTTCGCCCCAAGATTCGCAGCCCCAAACCTTAGTGGGCGCCAATGGGTTGCCCACGGATGAGCCACACAGGCCAGGGGGGTCGTACAGGAATCACATGAGTGCATCGCAAAGGAATGGGCATTTACCTGGACGTCGGCATCACGCCCAGAGCCAGGAAGCACCCAAACTGTGAAACGGCGGTCGACTCCAGTACAGCGTGACGAGTGCAGAACCTCGAAAATGCTTTTGTCCAGGGGCATGCTCATCTTCGGCATAGGAAAATGGACCAGACAGGGGGGGATAGCCTGCAAAGTAAAAGATTCCATCAGGTTGTGCGACTTGTGTGCACCACGTTGAACGAAGGTTGAAGCACTGTGGTGAACGGCCGCCCTCTGCGACGTCTTTTGCGCAAAGTGCCTGGTGGAAACTTGACATGGAAGTTGTATTCACCTGTTAGTCATCCTGGGTAAAGGAGCGAGAAGACACAGTTTTTATTTTTATTCTTCTGGAACACTTTGATTCAGAGATTCTGGACCCTGTGACGACTGGAACCATGTGTAGCATTTGTAGCATTGGATGCAGCCTTGCAAACTCGTGGTATGTTGTGAATCATCATCACATGGCATATTCAAGTCTTCAGCTTGCAGGGGATGCAGGGAGTAATAGCATCCGACGACTTGAGATAGCTTTGCACTTTTCGCTCCTGCTTTTGCAATAGAAAAATAGATAAAACACAAGGAGTGTAATGATATGTAGAAAATGCAATGATTGGAAACTGCAATACAGTAGGGCTCCCTATATAGCGTGTATAACCCCACCCCCCCCACCCCACCCACCCTTATCGTACTTTATGCAACTTTGCTGCACAGTGGGACCTCAAACTAGTGCAGGGGAGCGCGGTTTAGCGACCCCTGTTGGCGACCCCTGCCTAGGTACAGCTAACACCTGAACGGTTTGTCACAGTTCCCGTAGCACTTTATTTCACTGCGACAGGCCCCAGCGCCCGCGACTCGCTGCTGCGACTTCGTCGCTGGCACCGAAAGCCAGTACCCCCCTTAACACAATGGCGCTCCCGGCCCCCAATAGCGCCCCCCTTTTGGCAATGTCACAGGGGGGCGCTACATGGGAACCCTAATATACAACATATGCTACATGACATAAACATGAACAAAAATGCGAATACAGCCTAAAAAACAGTACTACGCATGAGAAACTAGTAGAAAAGTGCAAATACAAATCAACAATGTAAAACAATCCTTCCAATATTTCAAATAGAAACGGAAGTTGCCATTGTGCGACTGTGCCTGTGCAGTGTCACCGCAACTGTAAGCACAGTATTTACTCCTGGAAGAAGCATGCTTTCAGGTTGTGATCTCTTCCCCCTGCGAATGGCATCCCCACGTAGCCTGTTGGTTCCCGACAGACAATCTGCCAAAAAAAGAAAAAGAAAAAAGCGCCGTGTTTGGGGCAAACCGGAGACAGGAGTTGCATATCACGTTCACTTGCGTACTGAGAGTCCCACCCTCGCTGTCGGACCCGCGAGAACGGCGGGAATCCATGACCCTCGTAGCTTCACGACAAATTCCCCCCCACTTCATTCATGTGCATGGACACTTGTCCGTGCCTCGTGTTCAAGCCAGCAACGCGCACGGACAGGGCATCTTCGGTGCCAGGTGTGCGCCGCCAAACCCAGACACGCCCAAAGAAGAGCACGATCAGGTTGGAATCAGCAGCCCTCTGTTTGCTTCATGGGCCCACTCGCCCCCGTATTGCCACTCTCGCTGCGTCTCTTGCTCCCGGCGCATGGCGCCCTGACGGTCTCACACGACTGCCGCAGCCATCCCCGCTGTGCGCGGTCGAGGTCGCCGCGAAGCGCGGGCCGAATTGGTGCCAATCCTTTCATCAGCAAACTAAAGGCGATTAGCGGGTGGCGCGAGGTGCTGGATTGCACAACATCGCTTCAAGGCGTCTGTGCCTGTTGGCCACGGCCAATGCACAGGTACCTTGCCTTGGAGACAGCTGGATTGCATCTCGCGGGATCCGGCGCGGGCGTCAATGTCACGTTGCGCCGCTCACGGCTGTGCCAGCAGATAACAATGTGAGAATTGAATGGATTCGCCCTGCGTTGCGTTGGTGTCCACATGGGCTGCCTCAGGCCTCGCCGTCAGATGTCAAGAGTTCAAGGCCCGCATCAGAGCTGGTCGGACTCGCTTGGGGCCTCCCTGCCACTCGTTCCATGGAGAGCTGGCTCCACGCTGTTGTTCTTTGAGCAACACCAGCTGCCTCGCAGGTCGACAGCCAGTTGGCAAGCCGGAGGCCTGCGTGCCGTTTTCCGCATTCTCAAAGAAGTTCGTTCGGCTACAGGCTTCACGGAGAGGGGTCGTCGATCCAGTCCTGATGGCCGCCAATTCCGAAGGTCGGAACAATTGGGGTGCTAAACTGATGATCCTGTGGTTGTGCAAGCCAGCATGCAAAGCAAGGGTGCTGCCTTTGCTTGCAGTTGGATGTCCTTGATCCAACGTTTCATGCTGTGCCTGACAGGTCCATGTTTGGTGCAGGTTTAATATCGTGTTTCCGCGCATGGGAGCACTAGGACACTGTTGACATATGGTACCTGACAGGAATCACTGTACTCAATGGTTTTGCTGTGTTCAATATCATATGTCCATCCAAGGACACCAAACAGGGGCCTGTACTTGGCTGGGATCTGTGGCCAAGATATTTGGCAACATCGGTGTCTGGGGCACCCTACAGAGATGCCTGGAGTTTGTCCTTTGCCGTGCAGGAGTAAACCAAATATATCAGTTTGCTCAGGTACTCATATCCTCATCAGGCATTGTCGCTGTCAAGGTTGGTCAGTCACATTTGGTTTGAAGGGCCCAGTGCACAAGTGCACACAACTCCCTTGCCACAGATACATTTTGTGCAAATCAACACTGTGCCGCTCCTTGTTGGCATTGAGAGTAGCCCGATGGATGTCCGCATATACAATTGTGGATTGCTGCAGGTACATGCCTGGCAGTGGTGGGCGATGTCCATGGCTTTTGGAATGATGCGGATGAATTGGCAGTGAAGTTTCTAATGGAACATTCTGGTGTGGACCTCACCCTCTTCATTGGTGACATTGGCAACAATGCGAATATCGCTCTGGTGTCCAAGATTGCCAAGCTGATTTTCCCCAA